TTATTATTATTTATTCTGGTCTTCATGGTGCTGGCAAATATGTTCCTGGTTTTAGTGCCACTCACCCCATTAAAAGTCTTAAGAAAAGGGAACCGATGCAAGGAAAGACTCTTTTGCTTCTAAACAAAATAGTTGCTGTTTCTATTTTACAATGTATTTTTAAGTGTTTCCACTCGTTTTGAAATGGCTTCACTGTCCTGCTGCCCCAAGAACTTTAGAATTTGGAGCAGGATATAAATATTTTAATTGGTAAATAATCAAAACGCTTCAGAGCCGACCGCTGAGCAAGCAGGCCTGGGATTGCTCCCGGGAGCAAAATGGCCCTTTCCTATACAAAAAGCAATGTACCGGAGAATAGTGTATACGGCAGCCCAAAAATGGCTCTGCAAGTTCCTGTCATATAATCCAGTTCAAAGCAGATAATCTGGATTTTATATGGCAGTATAAATGGGGGTCTCATATCATCCAGTTCAAAGCAGATCATGTGGATTATTTGCTTTGAGAGTGTAGAAAGGGATCTAGGTTTGCTAGGATGCTGTTGACCAGGGACAAACGGATGTATTTATTGATTGACTAGCTGTACCCGCCACACATTGCTGTGGGCAACCTTCCCTTCCTCTTTCTCTCCTCCCTTCCTTTCCTCTTTTTCTTTCCCTATCTCTCTTCTTTCTTCCATCTCTACCTGTTTCTTTCCTCCCTTTCTTTGCTCTTTGATTACATATTTCCTTCCCTCTCTTTTTCCTTTCACTTTTTTAATTTCCTTCTCTCCTTCCTTATCACAATACCTTTCACTTTTTTTAGATTATTTCGTCTTCCAAAATGCTGCCTATCGCTTGCTATCGTCTATTTCCAGTTTCTTTCTTTGCGCTTCTTGAGGTCTCCTTCCCTGACTCGTATCTCTTGCGCTTTCATGTTCGTCTTCTGGCGTCTTCCTTCCTCATCCTGTCCTCCCTTCCTTCCTCTCCTTTCCTTCGCCCTCATGTTCAGCCTTGCATACTCTCATCATTCTACTTCTGTGAGAACTAGTCCCTTCCATGTTAATATTGATAGGTTGATAATAGTAGCTAGATAATAGAAATAAGTCGAAGAAGGAAAGGAGGGACAGGAAGGAAGAAAAAAAGGGAAGGAGGGAGAAAAGAGAGGGAGGGAAGACGGGAAAAGAAGAGAAAAGAAAAGAAAGGAAGAGGCAGTGGGGAAGAAAGAAAAAGGAAAGGAATAGGGGAAGAGAAAGAAAGGGAAGAGGGAGTGGGGAAGAAAGAGAAAAAGAGGGAAGAGGGGTAAAGAAGGGAAGAGAAAGGAAGGAAAGAGGGAGCAAGGAAGAAAGAAAAAGGCCACAGAAAGCAAGGAGGGGGAAAGAAGGGAAGAGAAAGGAAAGAAGAAAGGGAGTGAGGAAGGAAGGAGGGAAGAGAAGAAGGAAGGAGAAGGAAGAGAAGAGAAAGAAAGAAAGGGAAAGGAAGGAAGGGAGAAAGAAGGGAAGGGAGGGAGAGAAGAAGGTCCTTCATTCAAGCAGCCGTGGAAGTACGCTTGCCTCTGCCTGCCTCCAATCGCTCACCCTTCTTCCATTGCTCCGTTGCGTTACTGCTGCTGGCACTCATCCGCCCTTTCCTCTTCCAAAGGGAAAGGAGGAGGAGACTGCTCTCCTGACATAGGAGGGAAAGAGAAGGGGCTCCATGCGGCAAGCCTCCACCTCCACTCCACTCGCTTGTGTGTGGTGTGTGTGTGGCCATGCACGTGCGCCTGGCTTTAACGGCCGGCTGTTTCCCCGCGAGGGGGGGCATGGCCATGGGTCTCGGTAGACATGCAGTTTCTCCTTTGTGGACATGCAGTTTAGAAGTCCTTTCTGCTTTTGGTTTTCATTGGTTTTTTTGAGTGGAGAACATACATTGGGTTGTTAGGGACATAGTGTCCAAATCTGGTGTCAATTGCCCCAGTGGTTTCTGAGTTCTGTGAATAGCACAAATGAACATTACAGTTTTATTTATATAGATTACCAACAGTTTCAACCAAGTACATTTGAAACATGTTAAAAGGCCAAACATGAAATAAACAATCCATTTAGTAATACAAAAGTTGAAGAACACATTAGAAGAACACGTAAGAAGACTGAAAGCATAACATACCAGATTACAAGACCCTTCTGTCACGGGAGAGGCTTTCTACTGTGTATGCGAAGGTGTAAAATGACAACACTTCAACTGCCATATGCTACGGAATCAGGAAATTTCCAGTTTTAGCAAGGTCTTTCGCATTCTCTGCCAAAGAGTGCTAGCTCCCCACTCAAACACAAATTCTATAGCAAGGCTCAAGGTGTCAAAACTACAATAATTCTGCACTTCAATGACCATCTCTTCCCTTTCTGTGCTACCTGAGAGCCAGGTAAATAGACTGGCATCCCTATGTGTATGTTTTGAATAGCACAGGGAAGGGTTAACATGCACACACACATATACACACATACACAGGCAGTCTCTGACTTAAAAACATCCAACACACACACACACACACACACACATATATACAAACATACACACATATACAGGGAGTCTCTGACTTACAAACATCCAATATATATATATATACACACACACACACACACACACACACATATACAAACATACACACATACACAGGGAGTCTCGGACTTAAAAACATCCAACATATGTATGTATATATATATACACACACACACACATATACATACACACATAAACAGGCAGTCTCTGACTTACAAACATCCAACATACATATATATATACACACACACACATATACAAACATACACACATATACAAGCAGTCTCTGACTTACAAACATCCAGCATATATATATACACACACACACACACACACACACACATATACAGGCAGTCTCTGACTTACAAACATCCAACATATACACACACACACACATGTATGTATATACTTCTTGTGTGTGTGTGTCTGTTTTGGATAGCATAGGGAAGAATTAACTTAAACATATACACATACATATATTTACAGGCAGTCCATGAATTATAAACATCCAACAAACACACACACACACAAACAGATTCTCCCCTATGAACCATCAAGATTGTTAAGATCGTCTGGAGGGGCCCTGCTCTCGGTCCCACCAGCCTTGCAAGCGCGCCTGGTGGGGACGAGGGACAGGGCCTTCTTGGTGGTGGCTCCTCGGCTCTGGAACTCCCTCCCACTGGAGATTAGAATTGCCCCTTCTCTCCTGACTTTTAGAAAACAGGTGAAAACCTGGCTCTGGAAACTGGCATTTGACAAGTGAGTCAATAACTCGTGGCTATATGGATGGATGGTGATGAACAACGATTTTATTGTGACGACTTGGCCATTGTAATTATATGATTGTATTTTTGGTATTTTAATGTGTTAGTGTAGTATGAAATGTGATGTTTTTAAACAATTGCTTGTGATATTATTGTTGGAAACCGGCCTGAGTCCCTCTACAGAGGTGAGAAGACCGAGGAGGAGGAGGAGGTATACAAAAGTTCTAAATAAATAGCTCCAGCAGACAAGAGTCCTTTGTCCCACCCTGGTCATTCCACAGATATATAATCCCATTTTCCTAGTTCCAACAGACCTCACTACCTCTGAGGATGCTTGCCATAAATGCAGGCGAAATGTCAGGAGAAAATGCCTCCAGAACATGGCCATATAGCCCGGAAAAACCTACAACAACCCAATAATAAAGGACCTTGTTAAACCTTTCAAGCTTCTAAAGACTCTGTATAGGAAAATCCTTAGGGCCTCTCACTCAAGGCACCCCGGCTTCCCACTGGGCACAAAGAGAGAATGCCTCTAGAACAGTGTTTGTCAACCTGGGGGTCTGGACCCCTGAGGGAGTCGCAAAGGGGTGTCAGAGGGGTCGCCAAAGACCATCAGAAAACACAGTATTTTCTGTTGGTCATAGGGGTTCTGTGTGGGAAGTTTGGCCCAATTCTATCATTGGTGGGATTCAGAACGCTCCTTGATTGTGGGTGAACTATAAATCCCAGTATCTACAACTCCCAAATGTCAAAGTCTATTTTCCCCAAACCCCATCAGTGTTCACATTTGGGCATATTGAGTATCCGTGCCAAGTTTGGTCCAGATCCATCATTGTTTGAGCCCACAGTGCTCTCTGGATGTAGGCGAACTACAACTCCCAAACTCAAGGTCAATGCCCATCAAACCCTTCTAGTGTTTTCTGTTGGTCATGTGAGTCCTGTGTGCCACGTTTGGTTCAATTCCATCATTGGTGGAGTTCAGAATGCTCTTTAATTGTGGGTGAACTATAAATCCCAGTAACTACAAATCCCAAATGTCAACGTCTATTTTCCCCAAACCCCATCAGTGTTCACATTTGGGCATATTGAGTATTTGTGCCAAGTTTGGTCCAGATCCATCATTGTTTGAGCCCACAGTGCTCTCTGGATGTAGGTGAACTACAACTCCCAAACTCAAGGTCAATGCCCACCAAGCCCTTCCAGTATTTTCTGTTGATCATGGGAGTTCTCTGTGCCAACTTTGGTTCAATTCCATTGTTGGTGGGGTTCAGAATGTTCTTTGTTTACATGTTAACTACAAATCCCAGCAACCACAACTCCCAAATGACAAAATCAATCCCCCCGCCAACCCCACCAGTATTCAGATTTGGCCATACTGGATATTTGTGCCAAATTTGCTCCAGTGAATGAAAATACATCCTGCAGATCATTATTTACATGGCGATTCATAATGTTAGGATTATGGTTGGGGGTCACCACAACATGAGGAACTGTATTAAGGGGGATTAGGAAGGTTGAGAAAGGGAGATATACACACACACACAACACAAACACACACTTAGTTGGGGTTCACACTTCCAAAAAGTCCCTAAACCCCCAGAATTGCACTGAATTGGCAAAGAGTCCATGAAAGGGCAGGAAGGGTTGTCTCCAAGTGGGCAGAGGTTGCATCTCAGTGGCTCTACCTGAGAGCCAGGTGTGTGTATGTGTGTGGGACACTCACCTGGGGCAGGGGCTTCGGGCCCCCCTTTGGCCCCGGGGTGGAGGGCCCGGAAGGCTGCACGGACCCGAAGGCAGGCGGAGGGCGGCTGGGCGCGGGCGCCGAGGAGGAGCAGGAGGAGAAGGGCAACGGCCCGGAGGCAGCCAAGGACCCCTGGCCGGACTCCTCCGCCGCTCATGGCGGCCCTAAGGCGGGGCGAACCTCCGAGGCATCCCGAGGAAAAGCGCCGCCAGCAGCTGCAGCCGCAGAGCTAAGAGGCGAGGCAGCCTCCGCCACAGCGAGCAGCATCAATGAGCGGGGAGAGCGCGCGCCCTGGACTCTGCCCGGGCCCTCATTGGCTGCGGGGAAACTTTCCTCGCTTCTCATTGGCTGCCAAAAGAAAGCGAGCAAGAACCCTTTGCACTGTGGAAGGAGCACAGCTGGAATGTGGACCTCCCTCTCTAGACCAGGCCTGGGCCAGTTTGGGCCCTTCCAGGTATTTTGGACTTCAACTCCCACAATTCCTAACAGACTTTCCTCTCTTAAAGGAGACTCAAAGTAACAGGTGTCCAGCCCAGGGATGATCCAAATCAATTAACTAATAATAATAATAATAATAATAATAATAATAATAATAATCTATATAAATAAAAATGTAATGTTTGTTTGTGGGATTAACAGAACTCAAAAACCACTGGGGGAACTGACACCAAATTTGGTCACAAGACACCTAACAACCCAATGTGTGTCCTTCACTCATAAAAACACTGAAAAACACAGCAGAAGGGACTTAAAAAGCCCCCAAAAGCTAAATGACAATACAGAAAAAAGGGAAGAAAGAGGGAGGGAAGGGGAGAAAAGAAAGAAAGAAAGAAAGAAAGAGGGAGGGAAAGAAAGAAGGAAAGAAGGAAGCATGGAAGCAAAAGGAAGGAAGGAAAGAGGTAGAGAAGGAAAGAAAGAAAGAGAAGAGAAAGTAAAAGGAGGAAGGAAGGAAAGTTAGCGAAGGAAGAAAGGAGAGAAGGAAAGAAAAAAAGGAAAGAAGGAAAGAAAGAGGGAGTGAAGGAAAGAAGGAAGGAGAGAAGAAGAGAAAGAAAAAGGGAAGGAAGGAAAGAGATAGAGAAGGAAGGAAGAAGAGGAGGGAAAGAGGGGAAGAAGGAAAGAGGGAGGGAAAGGAGGGAAAGAGGGAAGGTTGGCCACAGCAACGCATGACGGGTACAACTAGCTATATAAATAAAAATGTAATGTTCGTTTGTGGGATTAACAGAACTCAAAAACCACTGGACAAATTGACACGGATGACCCCCCCAAGTAGCAGAATCTCCCGCCTTCAAGTTGGTTTGAACCGCAGCAGGGAGTTCCGCAGTTCCGTAGAGCAAAGTTGGGTCCAACTGATGAAATGTGCCCCAGCCAGCAGCTCAAAGCCAAGGACTGCCTGAAGCCTTTCTTTCACTTTCCCCTCTCCCTCTCTTTGTAGCAAATCCCTTAATAAAACACTTAAGTTTTGAAACTTTAAATCCTTTCCGCTTGATACTTTGTGTCCTTTTCCTGACTGCAACTTTTCAAACTCACCATAAACCTTTTTCTGAGCTCCGGGGAACCGTGAGCTCACTGGGGACGCCTTCCCGGCCTCCCCAGGCCTCCGAATTTGCGTTAGTTCAAATCGCGGATACGGAGATTTTCCTATTGGCCCCCCTTATCCGCCAAAACAACAACATGGCGGATCGGGCCCGTTCAAATTTTATATTTTTCTACACTAACTTCTAAGACTAACTGCTATCTTGGTTTTCTCACTTTGGACTCCTGCACTCGTGAAATAATTATTTTTGTTTAATCATTAAATTCGGCCAAGTCACCAGCTGATTGTCAAAATTTCGCCGGCTTTTGCCGCTTGCTTCATCCCGCTCGCTGCGGCTCGCTCCAGCATGGTTCCAGCCACGCCTGCGATCCACCGCCGTCGCCCAAGGGAAAGCCTTGGAAGTGGGGGATCGGGCAGGGAGGCCCGATCCCCGGTTGGGAGCGCTAGTTCCACCAAGGACGGGACAGTGGAACGTAGCTCCCCCTTCAGCTCCAGCTCCTGTTTCATAAAATGAACTGATCTTCGGATGGCCAGCCTGAACCATAGGCTGGCCCCTGCATCCAAACCCCTCCGCCCGGACTTTTGGGATTTTTAGTCTTTCTTTCCTTTTTTTATGAAATGAAATAAATAAAATATTTTCCTATTATGGATTGGGGTTGGGATGGGTGGTGGGTTGTGATGTATGAAATGCCTGTACATTGGTGATGCCTGTGTTTTATGAATATGAAATATGTATCCCTATGAACTCCCCTGTATCTTCACCTCCTTGACCCCTTACCCCATAAAACCGGCGTGACCAGGAACTGCCTGGGGAAAGAGCCCAAGCCTCTTTTCCCTAAATCACCCTTTGATCGACCCATCTTGCATGGACAATGCTGCTGGCCCCCGATTTCGTCATCGGAGCAAGACCAACGAAGGAGGGCTTGGTCGGCAGAGCCCCGGAAAGAAAGGACTGATTAAATCACCCAGATACTGTTGATCCTCCGGGCGGTTCGGTATCGATCCAGCTATTCAAATTCCTTGCCAGACTCATCAAGAACAGGAAAGCCCTTTGTTTGCCAAACATCACCCTCTTCCCGCCTTGGACAATAGCCCGCATTCCAGCGGGCAGGGAAGCCCAAATCCCATCATCTTTCCCCTTTGTTCCTCGGCCGTCCCGCCTCCTCGTTCCTGATTGGACAGAACCCAGGAAGCGAGCGGAGGGCGCCCATTGGCCCTCCCGAGGCGGGGGAACGCTCCCATTGGCTCCTGGCGGAGGCGGGCTGTCAAACCTCCTCCCAGCTGTTCCAGCCTCAGCCAATCAGCGTGAAGCCGGCTGACGAGGGGGCAGGCGGGTTTTTCAAACTGCTTTCCTTTATTCTGACTGTATAAAAATGCCTGAAAATCTTCGTACTGCATGCTTGCAGTGGAACGATTCCTGTAATGCATCCATTCAGCTGAATCGCAATTAAACGCCTCGGTCGCTGTACTCCTTTTGCCTCTGGTGAGCTTATTTGATTTTAATTATTTTTGGCGCTCTAGGATTGGCTTCCGGAAAAATCTCACCAAGGTATCCAGGACCCTTTTTTGGTGCGGTCCTTGGGCTCTCCTCCCCGGAGGGGCCCCCTAAAAGAGCTCGATATCATTACCAAATTTGGACATAAGACACTGAACAACCCAATGTATGCCCTTCACTCAAAAAATTGATTTTTGTTATTTGGGAGTTGTAGTTGCTGGGATTTATAGTTCACCTACAATCAAAGAGCATTCTGATGCCCACCAACGATGGAATTGAACCAAATTTGGCACACAGTTCTCCCATGACCGACAGAAAATACTGGAAGGGTTTTTTGGTGGGCAGTATTCTTTGGTTTTGGAGTTGTAGTTCACCTACGTCCAGAGAGCACTGTGGACTCAAACAATGATGGATCTGGACCAAACTCTACACGAATACTCAATATGCCCAAATGTGAACACTGGTGGAGTTTGGGGAAAATAGAATCTTGACATTTGGGAATTGTAGTTGCTGGGATTTATAGTTCACCTACAATCAAAGAGCATTCTGAACTCCACCAATGATGGAATTGAACCAACCATGGCATACAGGACTTCCATGACCAACAGAACACACTGGAATGGTTTAGTGGGCATTGACCTTGAGTTTGGGAGTTGTAGTTCACCTACATGCAGAGATCACTGTGGACTCAAACAATGATGGATCTGGACCAAACTCTACAAGAATACTCAATATGTCCAAATGTGAACACTGATGGAGTTTGGGGGAAATAGAATCTTGACATTTGGGAGTTGTAGTTGCTGGGATTTATAGTTCACCTACAATCAAAGAGCATTCTGAACTCCACCAATGATAGAATTGGGCCAAACCTCCCACACAGAACCCCATCTGGGCTGCAGCAATGCGTGGCAGGGGACAGCTAATAATAATAATAATAATAATAATAATAATAATAATCCATTACGCATTACACCCACGTAATGATGTCGACAGACTTGACCTGCCCAGAAAATCAGGAGGCAGAGGGCTTCTGCAAGTGAAACAAACGGTAGAAGGAGATAAACATGCCCTGGCATATGATGTGAAAGGCAGTCCAGAACCAACATTAGGGGAAGTCAATAGTAGTAAACTGCTTCACGTGCAAAACACAAAGAGTGAGTACCATAAAAACACAATCCAGAGCCAAAGAGAAAACGCAAAAGAAGGCTCTCCATGGACAGTTCCTGGGAAAAATTGAGAGCCAAATTGACAAAGAAAAACATGACTGTGGCTCACAAATGGAACTCTGAAAAAGGAGATAAAGGAGCGCCTGATTCTGGCAGCCCAAGAACAAGCCATTCGAACCAATGCCATCAAAGCCAGAATTGAAAAGTCAACGGCAAATCCCAATGTAGACTCCGCAAGGAAGCAGATGAAACAATAGATCACATCCTCGGCTGCTGCAAGAAGATCGCACAGACAGACTACAAGCAGAGGCATAACACGGTTGCTCAGAGGATTCATTGGAAGTTGTGCCACAAATACCATCTGCCTGTGACAAAGAACTGGTGGGATCACAAGCCAGAAAAAATTACAGAGAATCAACACGTCAAGCTACTCTGGGACTTCCGAATTCAGACAGACAGAGTTATGGAACACAACACTCCTGACCTCACAATCGTGTTAAAAAACAAAGTATGGATTGTCAGTGTTGCAATCCCAGATGACAGCAGGATTGAAGAGAAACAATTTGAAAAGATGACATGATATGAGGATTTATAGATCGAACTGCAAAGACTCTGGCACAAGCCAGTCAAGGTGGTCCCAGTGGTGATCGGCACACTGGGTGCAGTGCCTAAAGACCTTGGCCTGCACTTAAACACAATCAGCGCCAACAAAATTACCATCTGCCAGCTGCAAAAGGCCACCTTACTGGGATTTGCACACATTACTGTGTTTTTAGCTTTAGTATTTTACTCTGTACATGCAGCCTGCTCACTGTTCTGTGTTATGAATGATTTTATAGCAATTTTATATTGTTTGCTGTATTCTTATGGTTTATGTTTTATGTAATTTATTATGATGTTGTTTGTATTTTGATTTTGATTTATTTATTTACTGTATTATGTTGTCATAATGTATGAGCCGCCCCGAGTCCACATTGGGGAGATGGTGGTAGGGTACAAATATAGTTTATTTATTATTATTATCTTATAAGAGAAGAAAGTGGAATATTTATTGTAAT